CACGCACGCGGTACCTGGGACTCCCACGTGCGCGGTACCTGGGGCACTCTCAAGTGCGCGGTACCTGGGACTCCCAAGTGCGCGGTACCTGGGACTCCCACCTGGGAGTCCCAAGTGCGCGGTACCTGGGACTCCCAAGTGCGCGGTACCTGGGACTCCCAAGTGCGCGGTACCTGGGACTCCCAAGTGCGCGGTACCTAGGACCACAGTTGTGCGATACTTGGGATGTCCACACCCAGTCACCAAAAATATTAAATGCTTATAAATAATTTCTGGAGGATGCAAACGAACGAAAATCAAATTCAAACCCCAGGATAAAATCAAACATGAAAATCCATGAATCAAACAAAATCCATTGTGCGTTTATGAATACACATCTGATACAAATTTGAAAACTCCCGTCAACTTGTAAGATAGACCAAGTAAATGGGAAGTATGATAATAGGCAATGAAAATGAATCCCCGACATTTACTATTCATTCATAAAAATATTCTCAAGTAGTTCGCACAGACGACTGCCCCGTCAAGCACCATCTACAAAGTGCAGAAACTCCAACTTTAAAACACTAAGACATCTCCTTTCAGATCTAAAACATTATCTCGTCTAGTCACCAACTCGCGGGACTTGAAAACATCACTTGAATCTACCTGGAACGTCCGAGTCTTCATGAATGCTAAGTTTTAATTTTGTGTGTGTTGATTAACCTTGAAAAATTGAATAATTCTCATCATTTCTCCATTTCATGCTCATTGTATTATATCTATGTAGATATAAGTGTTGAACATTTATTTATGACGCGGCCATTGTCTGTTTTTAAGCAATTTATGTAAGTGTAAAGTATCACTGTAGAGAGTGAAAATGCTTTCAAATAATATGAATTCTGTTTACTATATGATCTTCTTTATCTAATATTACAGGTGCGTTTGTTAGTATGTGTTTTGAATCCTCAAACACGTGATGCAGATTAAGGTAGTGATATTTTAATCTGTTTGGAAGTGTAATGTGTTCATGTAATGTGTAGAGTTGTGATTCACAGCAAATGAATGATAGATTTCCACTAAATCATCAAGAAGCACACACTATTGCTCAAAGTTCATTTGCATTTAACATATGAAATTTAACCGAGAGTAAATCTATCCCATACGCTTAGGAGGAGGTGCGCCATGTTGATATATATGGAATTGCGGTATGTATTGCACGAGTAATAAATAGTAAACTCATTTTGCTTCCGACACTTCGGAAATACTAAATTCTAGTAGTCTATAAATATTTTTTCGTCACGTGTAGAGCTCCACACTCGAATCATAATAATAATATATTATAGCGGTTTTAGCGTTTATGAATTTAGCGTAGGCCTGTCGCCGATTCTTAACATCGCAGAACATCCACAGCTTGTTGCGGTTTCGAACTCACAACTCTCTGCTACAATTCTGCTGTGCTTAACCGCCCGCCCTCCTCGCCGATTCTGGCCAGAAACTGGCGCACAGAGCTGGGATCGAACCCGCGCCTCTCTGGTTTAATCTTGGTACTCTGAACTTTAACCACTGGGCCACCCTGCTAGTTGAAGTTCGCCCGGTTCGAGCTGCGGTCGACGACAGACGCTGGGTAACTTACAGAGCTGGGCAGCGCTACTTTGAAATGTAGCGGCGCTACCGCTACATGCTCTAAATGTAGCGGGCGCTACCGCTACCGCTACCCCCACTAGATTGAAGCAAGCGCTACCGCTACCGCTACAGTAAAATGTAGCGCCGCTACATTAGCCGCTACAATGGCCAAAATTATTACAAATCTCTAAATATTTATTGTTCTGCTATTGGGATTTACTCATAAACATCTAATGATAATAAAACATTTTCAAAACATATCAATGCAACTTTATTGCAATTAACCTAACCGAACTAGTATGGGTTACCCCAGGGTTAGATACAGTAAATAAAAGTTACAGTTATTTTTATGTTTTACCTTCCCTACATTGATGTGTACTTTAATCTACCAATCTAAAAAATTATCCACACATTCATATAAAAAATCGGTATTTTATTTGGATATATATGTGGATTGTTTTCGAGATTGGTAGATTAAAGTAGACATCCATGTAGGGAAGGTGAAACATAAAAATAACTGCGTAAAAATAACTGTAAGCAAACTGAAACATGAAAAAACCTGTAAGTGGTAACTGGTAACAACTTAACAAGTTACAACTAACATGTTGACACTAGTAACAGGCTGAGGTTGACAACATTACACCGAAATCTTTCGTACAGTTTTATTCTGTAATTTGTATTATGTATGTATCATGCTATAATATAATATTTAATACTATTAAGTAAAATCTAAAGGCTTTATCTATAAATGTAGCGGTAGCGCTGTAGCGGCAAAACCTCGTATCGCTACTTAAATATATAGCGGGCGCTACCGCTACCGCTACATTGCCTTAAATGTAGCGCCGCTACCGCTACTGAAAATGCAGCGGCCGCTATATGTAGCGCGCTACTGCCCACCCCCGGTAACTTGCTCTGCAAATTCCTTGTATTACCTTAATTTGACTGTGATAGTCAAATAATCTCATTCTAATTATCTGTTATAATGAAATTTTGCGAGCGGGAGACAGGGAGTGTTCTCAGTTTTTAAAATGGCACGCTACAAAGTTGAAGGTAGTGTTTATGTTCTTGTATGGTATGGATAGATGATCCAAACATGTTCCATACTTGAGCAAAAGGCTCAAATTATTTTTACAACTCACTAGCTCTTCTCTGTTCTTCCTTGAGCATAGCTGTCAGTGTCCGAGATCCTCATACATTTTACAAAAACAATATCATTGCAGATTTTATTTATTGCAGTCAACATTTATTAAATTCCAACTTATCTAGATCCCACTTTCACTTCACGTGGGGGCATTGTCAGTGCATATAGCACTTCATTGATCAGACTTATACAATTTATTTTATGACAACTTCTTTTAATTTATGTATTCTCCAGCAAGACTTGCAGCGCCTGCAGTGGCCTTCTTCAAAAGCATGAAACTTAGCTCAGTAGTCACACAATAAATCATCTTATTACTTAGTGTTTTGCACAGTCTGTCTCATCTACCTATTACTATCTTAAACATGATAGAACTTCAAACATTATAAGGAAGAACCACTTCAGTCTCCAAGTGTATTGATCTAATTAGATTTGTCAAAAATACATTTAAAAGAAGGAATAATATGATGTTACATTTCCAAGCAAAGAATAATGCCAAAGTAATGTAGTAATATTATTGTCAAGCAAAGAATGAAAAGCTAATGTTATGCGTTTATCATTGTGCTAATTTCTGAATTTACGGCAGCATATTTTTTACCTGCTTCGCTAAGGCAAATTAATTTGAATTCTTTAACTTACCTGGAAAACTGACTGCAGAATTGTCTGTTGAGTTCTCCTATTGATGGCATGCAGTGTCATTAATTTTACTACAATTTCTTATGATGAATTTAAGATCATTGTAGGATTTATAAGCTTCGGAAAGAAACTTAGAGTATCATATTTACCAACAGAGGTACATGTAGGAAGCTGTTTGCCACTCCATTTACTGAGTGTACTAGTACTCTAGTAGATAGAGTGTACTGAGTAATACAATCTTTTCTTTCATCTGACCATTCGTGGGACCCCATGCACGTGTGCGTGGCCTTGGTCTCCATCGTGCATGTGGCCTGGGACCCCCGCGTGCTCGTGGCCCGGGACCCTCACGTTTTGGCACTCTGAGCGAGCTTTCCCTCGCTCGGGCACTTATTAGCAGCTTCACGTTATCATCATGGTTGTTGTTGGTTGCGGGGAAGGGCGACCAGAAAAGGAGGGAGGTTAGTAAAAGCAGGGAGTGTTGCCAGGAAAGCCGCTGCCTCCACAAGACTGTTCCACTGTGAGGAGATGCTGAGGGTCGTGGGAAAAGAAGAAAAGCCAATAAATCCTGTGTGGCGGGATCCCCACAGTCAGGGCAGGCGGCGCTAGGTGTGCGTCTGATCTTGAAGGTATTGGATGCCGGGGAACTGCAGTAGCCCGAGTGGAGCTGGGTCAGCGTTACAGCGGTGAGGGCGGGGGAGCAGGCCCTCGTAGGCGACGAAAGAGCTGTGGTGGTGCAGTGGTGAGAGACTCTAGCTGTCTCTCGCACCCAGCGCCCGGGTTTGAGCCCCACTGAGGACAAGTTCTACCGGGAAGCTCAGCTCATGGTCAACTCAGCCATTCATCCAACTCTGGTTGATAAATGAGTACCTGGCTTATCAAGGGTGTTGTGTAATGCAATCAAATGGTTCTGGCGGGTCAGCGAGCCAGTAATGGTCGTAGAACTACCAGTGGTACCGAGTGCCCGGAAAAACAGACCTATCACCCCCCCCCCTCCCTAGTCGCCACTGCCAGGATGGGCAATTACAACAACAACAACAACGAAAGAGGGAGTGAGCCAAGACCCTGTTAATAAGTGGTTTCGGTGACGTGGGCTGGCATGTCCTGGTGGAGAGTCCGCTTTTCCTCCGCGTAAGATCCGTCAGGCAGGATGCCATCCTTTAGGAAGGAAGCCACAAGGTGGCCGAATTTGGACCGAAGGGAGCAGAGACGACTGGGAAGGAGGGCCGGAGAGCACTGGCTAGGAACTGCACACATGCGAAGTCTTGAAGGGCATTTAGGGGAGAACACCCGTCTCTGTGTGGAGTGTAGGTGTTCATTTGGGCATCATCTTTAGGCAGCCGATGGCTATCCTCAAGGCCGAGGTCTGGATCGTCTACGTGCTCGCCACGATGGAGCGGGAGGCAATGGGGTGCCAAAGAGGAGATGCATAGTTGATGATTGGGAATACAATAATGATCCTATTATCTCAAATTTACCACCCTGTAATACTACCAGGAGCCAGTTTAGTATTCCAAATGGCGACCCTAATTGGTGTTTTCCTCCGCAAAGGCCTTCCCTTTGCAACAGCAGAAGGCAAACATCCATAGAGCAATTACAATCGATAGAACAATAATGACCGGATTCGTTTTGTCCGATACGACTTCTTCCCTCCCGGCTTGGCTGCCGTCTGCTTCTGTTATGGATTCTGGTTGAGATGACGCTGTGGATTTCCCTTCTTTTCCAAATTTTTCACCATCCACTTGGTCCGTTGAGACAGATATTCTTGTTTCATTTCCTTCTGACCCGGATGCATCAATTGTCTGAAATAATTTATAATTTTTCACTCCCAGTAACAGGAGAAAATATATGAATGAAAAATTCTTTATTACATAAAATGAATAAATTATATTTCTGCAATTTTAATTGTTAGTGAAGCCCTTGCCTGGTTGTTACTGAAAATTTAAGACATATTCTCAATGCAGCATTGATTCAAACTTATTTATTTAAACACACACGAAACCATGGATAAGATACACACCTTTACTCCAATGCGGTACTCATATCCAGATCTGAGGTTATTAATTGTTTAACTATGAAGCTTGGCAGGCAGCGTGTACGTGGTGCGAGGCAAGCAGGATTAGAGAGTTGAGCCTCGGTTTCTTCAAGCTTATCCTCGTTCCTTTCAATTACTTCCGACGACTGAGCCTCAGCCACCGTCAGTTTGTAGCTGACCACTTCAACGCCCTCAGGAGGTTCCCATGCCATTATCAGGGAGGAGCTGGTGCTGTCTGTGAGCTCCAGGTTGGTGGGAGCAGGGAGAGCTTTAGAGAACATGGAATGGATAGAATAAACGCATAAAAACGCATTCCCCAACCGACCTATTGGAAGACACGATTAGTAACTGGCACAAAATAAAGCACAGAACCATCCAAAAATGGCTTCATCTAAAAATACAAGAAAAATTCAGACAAGGTATCACTAAAACTAACCTTAAAAGCTTCAATAAGGAAGAACTCAAATTTATACTGGAAATTCCTGGTAAATCTTACTTTTCGTTGGTGTTAGAATTTTAGCGCAAATTTTTGGGCCCTGCTCTGCTCCAATCAAGGTGGTAATGCAAATTTCATAAAGAGAGTGGTACTTCACATTGTTCAGGCGATGAGTCAAAGCATTAACCACAAAAGTTCGAAGTTTCCTAGTTAGAGTAAAACTGTTCAGGTCGAAGCGTTCGTAGGAAATGTTGAAGTTAACGAGAGGGCAATCTGGTAGAGGATAATTCCATCCCACTGAAATTGCCTCATCGTATTCGGCCTTCACGTTGACCTCCGAAACAGCCTGTGGAGCTAAAAAAATTATCTAAGAATGCTATTTATAAATGAAAAACTATGCAACTCAATTATTGCGGACTGAACCGGAGCCGAATAAGAAAAATTTCTGTCATTCCAATTGAGTGCACAGAGATGTAGAATAAAAATATTTCCATATTTCTTCTCAATATCTTCATGTTACGTGGAATGCAATACTCATATTGGCACGGAATTTTAAAAAAATTATTCAACTACCTCCAGGCTCGGTGACTTCCCTTTCTATAACAGGTTCTTCTATGACGTTCCCCGCACAATTCATGACGTATACTTCCGTCTCGTATTTACTGCAAGGAGGCAGCTTCTTCTTCTCCTCCTGCAAGGCCACGAGGCTCTCGTCGTCATAAGTGTGGGGTTCGGGGAAGATGTTCAAGATTTTGTACCCGCAGCGCTTCTTACCGTCAGGGAACTTGGTGATCACTCTTGTCACGTCGTCCAACGGGCTTTGGCATTTTGCAAGCATCGCTATGAAAGGAAAATAGAATAAATTTAAAATTGCTGTGAACATATGATCATAGAGGAAATATTCGAAGTGATACGCCAGCAGCCCCAGCCCAGGAGTAAAATATCAACGAAATAAAACCCTTCATATCTAATATCCCAAAATAAAATTATATGTTCTTATGCGAGAGATATTTCAGGTTCATATGTGATGAATCAAATTACTTGTTCAATTGAAATTCTCTATACTTTTGCTATTACAAAAATATGGCCCATAAACTTCCAGATAGATTTTATGTACAGTTTGGTGACATTATGCACATTACCCTGCAATTTTTCCTGACTGCATGAGTTGCAATTTTTCCTGCAATTTTTCCTGACTGAATCGCTGTGAAACGGCAATCCAATGACCTGTAAGAAGAATCAAAATCTAGGTAATGGGTCCGACATAAACCTCGCTGTGGAACATTACCTACATAGAATGAATGAATGCCCGTGAATGAAGTAGCAAGAATGAAATTTTGAAATGAACAAGCGAAAAATAAGGTCGAGGTTTATTTTATTGATAAAACAGAACAAAAGAGGCAGCAACATTAGGCATCACGCCTGTCCATCCACGAATTGGAGGAGTCATGCAAAAGGGACGGACTTTTGGTCGAGGTTTTGCCTCGACGCATTTACATTACTAGTCGCACAACATCTCGTTTAAAGCATATCTCAAACCTTGATATCCTTCAATTTTATTTTATTGTAGTAAACTAGTTCCTGAAAGAAGTAATATCTACAATTTATGAGGTAATCAGTTTAGTAGGTTCATGTGAGTGAATTTAATGTGAACTGCCAAACCAAGCATAAATAATTGTTTCAATTTCGATTTTTTTAGGGATATGGGTTGTTTACTTACTTGTAATGCCAATAGGGCCAGCAGGACGAACAAGATTTCACTCGACTTTCTCATTTTGCAAAAAGGATCGAATGTTGAATCTGAAAAAGATCGATTTAATATCTATATTATTCATGGCTATAATTTATTTATTAGATCACGGGGGCACATGCGTGAAACTTTGACTAGCATATCCACTACTTGAGTAATAAGATCTATACTCACTTTTTCCACAGAGATTATTCTTCCTTCAGTGGCTTGCTTCTTCACCGGACCAACCTGCCCGATCTAATGAAACTACGATCAAAAGACGCCTTTTTATAGAATGAGCGCAACACTGATAAGTATTATAGAAAGCTTATATTGATAGGGTTTATAGCGAGCTTCGAATAGAGTTCAGTCGTTACGAGGCCTTTACGTGTTAGTGGATGTGCTAGATTAGAAAAGATGAGTCATCCGATACGAAAATCTTTATTAAATATACCGTTTGGTTAATTAGTAATATATGCGATACCTATTTACACCTGCACTGTATCAAAAAACGACTTTAATTACAAATGCCACATTGCAAACTGGCCAGAAGTTCAATGATTTTTTCTTTAAAAAACTTATGCGCAGTAAATTAAATTGGAACAGCAGTAAATTATGTTGCGATCTTAATCATTTGTACTTGTGTACGCTGCATAGATGCACAACATTAGAATAGAATGGAATAGAAGTGTCGCCACTGAAGAAATAGGCCCATGGCCTGTTGCCGATTCTTGAATTTTTCGTGACTTGATTCACAAGGGATCCAGCCTTTGGAACCCGATCTTTCCATAACTGACGATTGATTGAGATAGCTGCTGGACTTATTTCCTGGTCCGTAAGTTGCTAGATATTTTAAGACTGAACATATGCTCCTGCATAGCTTCGTCTAGTCTGTTCTTGAAGGCGTTCATACTCGGAGCGTCAACGATGCTATCAGGGAGGCTGTTCCATATGTCGTTGACTCGAAGCGAGAAGAAACGTTGTCGCATGGATGTGTTGCAACGTAGTTTTTTTAGTTTATGGCCGTGGCCCCTATTGGTCCAACTTATGCAATTTATTTTATGATAACTTCTTTTAATTTATGTATTCTCCAGCAAGACTTGCAGCGCCTGCAGTGGCCTTCTTCAAAAGCATGAAACTTAGCTCAGTAGTCACACAATAAATCATCTTATTACTTAGTGTTTTGCACAATCTGCCTCATCTACCTGTTACTATCTTAAAAATGATTGAACTTCAAACATTATAAGGAAGAATCACTTCAGTCTCCAAGGGTATTGATCTACTTAGATTTGTAAAAAGACATTTAAAAGAATGAATAATATGATGTTACATTTCCAAGCAAATAATAATGCCACAGTAATGTCATAATATTGTTGACAAGCAAAGAATGAAAAGCTAATGTTATGCGTTTATCACTGTGCTAATTTCTGAATTTACGGCAGCATATTTTTTACCTGCTCCTCTATGTGCAAATTAATTTGTTCGTATTCTTTAACTTACCTGGAAACTGACTGCAGAATTGTCTGTTGAGTTCTCCTTTTGATGACAGTATCATAAATTTTGCTGCAATTTCTCATCATTAATTTAAGATCATTGTAGGATTAATAATCTTCGGAAAGACTGAGTCTCATATATACAAACAGAAGTCCATGTAGGAAGCTTTTTGCCACTCCATTGACTAAGTGTGGACTAGTAGGTAGAGTGTACTGAGTAATACAATAGTTTCCTTCATCTCTATTCTTGGAACCCCACGTGCTCGTGGCCTGGGACCCTCACGTTCTGGCACTCGCAGCGAGCTTTCCCTCCACGGTCATTTATTAACAGCTTCACATTATCTCAATGGTTGTTTGTTGCGGGGGAGGTGCGGGGAAGGGCGACCAGAAAAGGAGGGAGGTTAGCAAAAGCAGGGAGTGTGGCCAGGAAAGCCGCTGCCTCCACAAGACTGTTCCACTGTGAGGAGATGCTGAGGGTCGTGGGAAAAGAAGAAAGGCAAAGAGATGCTATGTGGTGGGATCCCCACAGTCAGGGCTGGCGGCGCTAGGTGCGCGTCTGATCTTGAAGGTGTTGGATGCCAGGGAACTGCAGACTCGAGCGGAGCTGGGTCAGCGTTGAGCGGTGAGGGCGGGGGAGCCGGCCCTCGTAGGTGACGCTCGTAGGTGACGATAGGGGGAGAGGGCCAAGACCCTGTTTATAAGTGGTTTCGGTGACGTGGGCGGGCATCTCCTGGTGGAGAGTCCGCTTTTCCTCCTCGTAAGATCCGTCAGGCAGGATGCCATCCTTTAAGAAGGGAGCCACAAGGTGGCCGAATTTGAACCGAAAGGAAGCTTTTATTTGGACCGAGGGAAGCAGAGACGACGAGGAAGGGAGGACCGGAGAGCACTGGTAGGAACTGCACACATGCTAGGTCTTGAAGGGTATTTAGGGGAGAACACCCGTCTCTGTGTGGAGTGTAGGTGTTCATTGGGCATCATCTTCAATCAGCCGGTGGCTATCCTAAAGGCCGAGTTCTATCGTCTGCATGCTCGCCACGATGGAGCGGGAGGCAACTGGGTACCAAAGAGGAGCTTCATAGTTGATGATTGGGCTTAAAATAATGATTCTATTATCTCAATTTACCACCCTATGCTACTACTTCACCAGGAGCCTGTTCAGTATTCCAAATGGCACCTTAGTAACAATCCATGTTGAAAACGTCTTTCAAGGTATTGCCTCACATGACTGCCGAACCTTCACCTTCTATATGGAGTTTTTTAATTATCTGTATGTTAGAATTGGATGTTAAGATCTTCTTTCCATGCTGAACCATAGAAATACTTTTTATTTCCTACATACGTTGTTGCATTGGCAACATAGAAAGATACCTAGATGATAACCAAATGGACTACGTGTTAGATTTTCGAAAGAACTGGAATTAGGATCAATTTGATTTTGTGCAAACGCGAATTTCGTCGTAATTAGTCTTGTTTTTATTAGTTATTAGGCAAACAACTCATATAGTCTATAAATCTTTTTAAGAGCACGTTTATTATCTGCCGATTGCATGAAACAGTGTCCGCTGCTAATAAATATTTTGAATAATTGCATCATCTCTAGGGAAATTTGCGTTATCTCAGTTTGATAAATACTGGAATAATAGGTGAAATACGTTTTACAACTTTTTCCGTAATACCTTTCCCTAACTTTCTCCTTTGGTATAAACGAAATGAATAAAAGAGTAAGGGATGAATCATAGAAACTAACTTTAGAAAAACGTCCAAAAGCTTTTGGGCGTCATATTCTGCCGATTTTGTCTTGATTTTGTCTTCACTGTTGTAGAATACGATTTTTGAATATTTTAAACCGGTATTATTTTTGCGTGTATTTAAGTTCACGATTCCATTTTAGAAACCATTGTGCAAGACTTGGACACACCAGCCGTGGCCGTGGAGGGCATGGGTCAGTCGGGCGGCAGAACTTCATACGTCCCTGCGATGACCGCGAGCCAGCGCAAGAACAGACGTCAGCGCGGACCGCCCTACACCAACAGGAAGCAAGAAGAAGTCGCTCCTCCGCAGTTCAAGTACATAACGTGCAAGTTATGTTAGTCAAGTACATAACGACTGCAACGATCTAACTCTATGCTGTCAAACTGCTGACAAATGCTGTCGGCCTGCTTGCGGTTGGAGCGCGGCCCGGATACGGGCCCAAATCGACAGCAAATCTCTCCCCGTCCCCCGAAAGGGGGACCCGAAGCCCATGTTTTTTGGTGCTGCCGGCCTGCGGCTCCCCACGTGTGGTCGGC